TCACTGCCCTTACAAGACAACGGACATCTCTGTACATCTCTTGTCTTGCACCCCACTTCCCCTAGCAGTTCTCGACCCCCCCCCCCCCCCCCCCCATCACTTCCCGTCCGTCTGTCTGCCAGAGACTGTCCATGTGTTGTGTTCAGACTGCAGGGCCACATTTAGACCAGTGGAATATATGTGTTGTGTTTTCCTTTCATTTGCTCTCTTAGGCCTCTTTATTCGCTGCCTCATAACAAGCCATGTACTTGTTTTCCATCAGTATGAGAGAGTAGTGGACGGGGAAAACAGTTTAGTTGTACTAAATTAGTGGTAGGCTACTACATACTGAAACTCTGTTGAGTCCTGATGTGTTTTAACAACCCTCAAATGGATCTTGTACTGTTGAACATGCGGTTACTCACATTTTAATCCATGTTTTGGTCTGTGTGAGTAATTTTACCTCATCTGAGACACAGCCATAACAAACTCAAACTCAGCTTTTCATAGTTTGAAAAAGACAGTTTACTACAGATGGTGGTCATTGGAGTGAAGCATAAGCCTGTGTTAATCAGAAAAATTATAGATGTGAATAAACTTTGTGGACTGGAACTGCACAATAATAATACTACTTGACATTTTAGGAAATATGCTTATATGCTTTCAGTCCATTAAATATGAGGTTATAGCCAGCAGCTGGTTATCTTATCTTAGCCTGGAAGCAGGATTTACACACAAGTTAAACCCCTATAAAACTGAAACTTGTTGCTTTTACACTTTTGGTTTTGTATGGAACAAATAATGTTGTATGTATACAATATATATATATATATATATATATATATATACATACATATATATACATACACATATATGTTAGTTTGTGAGCTTTAGAGTTGCTGGCAGATGGATTTTGTTATGTTTGGACAGAGCCGAGCTAGCTGTTTACAGTCTTAATGCTATGCTAAGCTAACCAGGTTTGCGGTAGGTTGAGGTTGGACTTGTAGAGTACAGACATAAGAGTGGTGTTGATCCTCTTATCTAACTGTAGGTAAGAAAAAGTGAAAAAGCGCATTTTTCAAAATGTCAAACAACGTCTTTTGAAAGAAGAAATAACAAATTGTTTGTCTTGCAAATGAAAAGCAATAAATTGAACAATGAGGTTTTGCTGCTATGGCCTCACTTGGTCTACAATGACAAGTAGCTTACGGTGGCTAATATTAGCTCATGACATAACTAATGCTGTATTACCGAGTCAGTTTGATGCTTCTCTTACATTATGGTTTAGTATTTAGCCTTATCCCATTATTGTAATTCGTGCCCTCGGTGGCCATTGTTCAGCAGAGGTTACATGGTCTCGCTTTCATGAAAGTAATTTCAAAATACTGTGTGCTTAAAAAGATAAATACAGCACACTTGAGACATGACATGTAAAAAGTATTTCCACTTTTTCACTAACTTATAGTTTGTATCTTTCTGTAGAAGTATACTATTATATTTCCAGACCACATATGTTAACATAAGGATAAAACAATGAAAATGTTGCTTACACAGTACAAGACAGTACTGAAAGTGCAGTGCAGTAATGAAAGCATCATCAATCAAATGATGACCTTGGTTGCAAAAAAACAGAGATCTGAAAATGAAGTCATTAATTATTTCGGGCAACCTACTGGTAACTGCCCCTGAAATTTGACCTTGAATACACTGAAAATTTTAGGAAAAAGAATGGTAGGAAATCATTTGTCCTATTCCCATATGTTAACTATATTATTGTGTCTCTCATATGCTTAGATAAATCAAAAAATGTAGTACAGACTGCCTCTGCTGCTTTTTATTTATAATTGAATGGGCCTATACTTTACACTTATAACTGAAATGTTATCAAGCTCTTGAAAGTACATGATTTGTATTAATTTGTTAGTATTATGACTTTATTTCAAGTACTCACACAGTGTTATCTGTGCTTCACTTTTCCCTGCTTTAATCAATATAAAAAAACATTGCATTGATATGGTCAATAGTGAAAACTTAAAATACAATATGCTATATTAGTATGTCATGATTTACAGTATCATGGTCTGCATGACGAGGTTGAAAGTGCTGTCTGAGAAATGTTTGGTCACATTCGCCATCACTTCCGAACCACAAAAGACGTTTTGATAAAAACTCCAACATAGATAAACAAAGTGAGTTAAATGGGAAATGGCAGCTGGGAACAGCCTCTGGTATATTGTGGTAATTATGTCATGAATGCTATTGCAGGTAGAATAATTTGAGTCAGTGGTGTTTCACATTTCCTCTCCCCTCTTTCAGAACTTTTACAGAAGCTAATACAGTCGGGTCCTACTGGAAATAAGAACGCATGAAAACAGTTTAACAGTGTTGGAGACTGAAAAACACCAACATGGAGTCTCACAAGTCAACAGAAATTAAAACTCTGTTATTACATTTCATCATTTCTCCACAAGGAAAAAAGGAAGCTGTAACTCCATAACCAATTTGTGCTCACATGCCTCTGCTTACAAAAATATCATGATTTGCCAATTCAGCTAAAACATTCAACATTATATTTCAGCAAGCAAACCCAACAACATGGATGCCCACTGAGTGTGTCAGTGAGGCATGTGATTACAGATTTAATGTACTGTATTTAAAGTCTTACTACAAAATAAATATTTCACAGAAACTTGTCAACATGTCATTCATAACAAGTAGAACCTTCAGCAGTTTTAAATCTTCCTCTTTCAAGTGAAATGTTAAATTTATATTTAAAATATGCTATGTGAAGGATTATGTGCCACCTTCACTTCCTTATTGACTTAATGACTTATCTCTTTGTATTGTGGGTGTTTTCCAGCTGAAGTGCACTGATATAAAATTGAGAAGCGAGAATATAGTTTTGATTTTGAAAATTCCCTTTGGTGATGTTTTTCATGGCACCAGATGACTAACTTTTTTTTTGTGAAAAGCACCTTCATTTAGTCAGTACCAGAAATTCAAAAACATAAGCCCATATACAGTAGCTTTAGGATCCACATGGGTGATGTCAGTCATATTCTTGTGCCAGAGAAAATTCATAGTGGTTGGTGTATTATTATCCTGTCAATATGTCTTTGAACAAGTCTCCGAACGCACACCTGCTCACTCACTGAAAATGGCATCAAAATACCTAATATCTCATTTTTTTGGACAGCTGTATATTGAGAAAACATTTCTTTATTTGTTCCACTTTATGTGTGTTGACACTTCAAAATGCCTTCTACCATGACAACGGCGCTCAAGCATATGGAGAAAAATAGTAGCTAGACTAATAAATGTGTTGTTTATCCCATGACACGACCACCTTCAACACTGAGGACTATTAATCACGAGATGACAAGTTGATTTTCAGTGTGAACATGGAACGGCTGTACTGAAAAGCAGCAACTCAAAGTCCATGAAATGATCTCAGCAGGGACCTGTTAATCCTCATCTGATGTGGAAAGCACCAGATAACAAGCAATGTCATGAGCATTCAAAAACAAAAAACACAAGAAAACCTGACACACACCTGGACTGGTCATCTGTCGTCTCTGGCCAGCTGCCCAAGTACCTTGTTTAGTTTTGGCTCAGTCTTGGCCGTCTTTAAATGAGCTTTTACTGACAAATGTTAGAAAGAACCTGCACTATTATCTGCCAGTTTGTGTGTGTGTTTCCACTGTGGGGCCACACATTGTGTGAGAAAATGTCTTCATACTTTAACTCCATTTAATAAACACCAGGGAAAAGATTAATAAAAACGAAGTATGAATGGTTGTTGCACACATCTGGTGTTTTCTACAGGGTTTTAGATAGATCAGCTGGTGCAGTTGGTGCACTATGCTACTGTATCTTTTAACAGCTGTGTCTGTTTTCCCAGTGTGCATGTGGTGTGTTAAATATCTGTTGCATAGACACACATTCTGGGCGTTGCTCCACCTGGGAATTCTTTGTCTTTGCGTTGACCATGTTTCCATACGTGATCGTCTCCTTGTTATATGTGAGAGTACAGTGTGTGGTCATTGGTTCAAAGGTCCCATATTTTACACTTTTCCTGTATTTTATTTGAAGTGTTGATCCATAAGAATGTACATTTGTGGTTTTAAGAACCAAAAACAGTCACAGTATAGTTTTACATCTCCTCTCTCAGGCTTCTCTCTGGAGCTCTAGTAACAACAGGTCCGTGAGCCAATCAGAAGAGGGGCTCGAGCCCAATTGCCCTGACTGTTTTCTGAGTAATTGAATAAAAATATAGAGAATGTCAGGTAAACACTCAGAGGAACCAAATGTTTCTTGTGACATCACAAAGTTACAGAAGTCCCGGTGGCTCATTTTAAGGCAGTTTCTGAATACAGGCTGTGTGCATTTCTCTGTGGACTGAGCGCTTTAATACTTTCACAGTATTAATATAAAATTTGGACCTGCTTTATAATCAAAAAAGACATGGAACACTCCCCCCGTTTACAGTGTCATGTTTTCCTATCTCAGTGTCTGTTTTGTAGTGCCATCTGAGCACACAGGGCATCAAGACTCTAATACATAATCCATGTACTTAAATGTTGTCTCATGACCTTTATCGCAAATCGCATTTCTGTAATCTCAGTTTGTTGAACAGTTTTTGTCACTAAAGGCGAAATGCCACACAAATGTGCTAAATAATCTTTTTGGGTTATTGGTCAAAACTTTGAAACCCATCCATCCACGATGTGACACAAACAGACAGGACACAGGAAGTCTGTCAGAAGGTCAGATCTCACAGCAGCAAACAGTAGGCAAACAAATAGTTAATATTGCAGCTGCCACACAAAGCAGCATGAATAAAATCAGTAAATGGCAACATTTTTCCTCTGGTGATTCTCACAGTGTTTAAGACTCAGATTTATTTGCTGCAGACACGAATGATCAAAACCTTATGTTTTTGTTCCTGCTGCCGCCCAGTCAGCATTGCTGTCATCATTCTGCCCTCAGTAACTGACTAAATTGCCTTTGTCCTCTCCTACCTGGAATGACCTCGAAAAGAAATTTTCCCCCTTCATCGCCGTTGGTTGGATGCTCTGAAACTTTGTTTCCAGGTAAAGAAATGGCTCCCTGTGGAAAATAAAGAAGAGGCTGATCAGCAGCAATAGTTAAATCCACACAGAGTAATAAGGACTACATGTTGACTTACTGGCTGCCTTTCGGTTGGTAAATGTGGTTATGTTAGTAAATGGTGTTGTTAGGAATATTTATGCTGTATAGATAAATCAAAATACTTAATGTATGGTACAGATTCTTTGTGTTGTCACAAAAGATTTTGTGATGTTTCTTTTTTAAAATATCACAAGACTTTTTTAATATTATTTAATATACTTTACTGTGTGCAGACTGCACAACATATTCAGCTGTTCTCTTGTAACCACAGCACTTCACGAGCTCAGCAGCATTCATCTCTCTGACGTTATTGTGGGAGAAATATGCTTAAAACACTGACATGTTTGGATTTTGCATTGTCATATGTATCAGCATCTCTGCCGGCCCAAGAAGCTGGTGTATTGGTCCCCAGGGATGTGCCCGGGTGATGGAGCTGAGTTGTTATAAAATGTGGCAAAGTGGAGCATTATAGAGGATCACCGTCTCTCCGGCTCGGCTCTGTCCACAATGATACATCATCTGTGTGACACTAAAGGCCAGAGATCCTCTGCTTTAAATAGCAGGGGCATCAGCATCTTTTTCCAGAGTCAACCTCATAGCAACCTTACTGTCGAGACTCACTGTCTGGTAGATGTGCTGCGGGGCAGATTTGTGGGTCTAGTTGTCAAAGAGTGCCAGTGTCGCATCGTCAGAGGCTGACACAGTCTATCTGCCATTGACTGGACCAGAGATACCATAACCAATGATTATGCTGTGCCTCTAATACTGCTGGACACAGGAGGTTCACAGCGTGTGTCTGCAGATAGTTATGAGTCTTTGTGGGTCTCATTAGTGACAGCAGTGGTGGAAAGCAGCTGTACTTTAAATCTGAGATGCTTGTACTTTTTAGAGGCACAAGTAGGTAAATCATGTTCTAACTATTGACAGAAAATTTAAGCAGGAATTTCTGATAATAAAGCAATAGTTTAATCGCTCATTTTATTAAGCACAAGTGGAAAAACTTAACTCAAATGTGAAAAGCCTGTCTGGTGGTTTTCTTAGACTTCTGTGATTGTAAATGAAATATGTTTGGGTGGGTTGGATAATAAGTCATTTGAATATGTCCATTTGGGCTTTGGCAAACTGTGATGGCCATTTTTCAACATTTCATGGGCCAAACTGCAGGCGGATCGATAATGCAAATAATCTTCAGTTGAATCCTAGTTTGGTCTCATCAAGTAAATAACCAAATACTCGCATGTGTCAATCCTGTGAGAATGAAATGTAGTTAAATGAACTGGTGCATAATTACTGCGTAGTTTAATAATCTTCACATATAACCACACTTACTTAGCAAATACCTCACCTTCTTTTAATTAGAGTGACTATAAAATAAGGATTACAACATAACCAGCTGCAGGTTTGCCGTTTATATAATCAAACAATGACTTTTCACTTGATTAACAACTCGGACCTTAGTGACACACCACAGCATGTGACAGTCATTAGACTGACCTCTATCAGGGTTAATGTTAACGAAGACAAGATGTGCATCGGTGACAGCATCGGTATTCAGGACCCATACACATGAGCAGGATCTGAGAGGCATTCAGTTTCCTTCCTGCTGAGAGAGAGGGCCCTTTAATGAGCCATAACTGTGATAACCAGGAAGTGGAAACCCTACCTGAGGCCCCAGATGAAGTGCTTGAAAGGGGGTTATAAAGATGGGAAAGACAAGCTCCAAAGTGGAGGGGTGGAGGGAGAGAACAAGCTTGTTTGATGTGGTTGTCAGAAAGAGAATCTGCTTAGCTTCAGTATCTTGGGATTAAAAGCACCTTTAAGAACTTTTTTTTTTTTTCAGTGAACACAGATCTTTTTGTCATGCACAGTGTACTGATTCCAGGGAAACAGGAGATGACTTAAGTGAGTCGTGTGGGTGAGATAGACTCATACATGTGTGTGCCTCATGTATATAGTCTTAAAAATGAATAAAAGAGCCTGTGTAGTCCCTCCATACTGTAAAACCACAACTGCATGGATATCCCTCTCCTCCGACTCTAACCCACTTCCACACTTTCCATACTGACATCCCCTGGTGGCCTTTTGTTTGCTGCAGACAAACCTAACCACAGACATAGTAATATTTACCCAGCAAAGAGTACGGCAGCTTGGCCCAACCCAACAGGGCAAAAAAACCCAAACTATCTTGGGGTGTTTTCTGTATTTTTTTTTATGTTGCTGTTAACAAGGATGAGGTCATTTTTGGAAACTGTGTAATGACACCAACGCAATTATCTTTTGTTCTCAAATAGAAAGTTACACACATACGAACACACACACACACGGACATAAGAGGCTCAGAGAAATCTGTCAGAGGAAAGTGACAGCAGGAGGCTCAGGCTTGTAAGCAGCAGCGCAGCCTGTCAGGGGGGCTGTTTGTTCCTGAGGCTGTGTCCAACAGTATGCTCCAAATGAAATCAGATTTGTTGTTATTTTCTCAGACTGCAAGCAAATACCAGAATACTGACTGTGACTCCAGCTCTGTTAAATCAATGGCATCTAAACAAGTTTGTCCGACCAGCCTGCACACACTACAGCAGTTAAACCCGAATGTGACGTTCATTATGGTCATAAACCAAATATTTTACCTCATTCAAGTTTGTTTGAATACACCGTCAGTTATTGGGTAAATGTCCATGCAACAGTTTCTCGCATCATTTCCTTCCACTTTGGATGTTTCATTTACTGTCTAGGTAACATAGGCTTTCTCAATAATATGACAGGAAGATACTGTGGGACCAGCACGTACCCCATGGCACATGATAGGCTATCTATTGTTAATGTCTACATGTTGTTTGAATGAGTTTATACCATTAAAATCATGTTCCTGCTCCACGAACAATATGACAAAGAGCTGCAGCTAATCCATCAAGCCACTTTCCATGTTTGCCTTATGACAAGCATTTGAAAACTATTCATGTAATTTTTTAATTGTTTAAGTTTAATTGGAAAGCTTTAGGAGGTTCACTATGCTTACCAACGTTGCTTGTTACCTTGCCCAAGTGCTTATTTCCCAAATGTCTACTAGTTCGTTAGTGAAATGAAGTCTAGTAGCAGAATCTGTTAGAATAAGACACAGCCACTTAAAGGTGAAAGGCAAGACACTGTAGGTAAATGTAGGTAGCAGTAGCTAATTATCTAGCTTGTTTCTGAGTTTGACTTTGTCAAGTATCTATGGATGAACAATAACATTAGCTAGTTTCAACTTTTGCCTTAAGCTACAGTTTAGCTGACTAGTGCTAGCGAGCTGATAGCTCGCCCTTTCATTTCCAATGTTGGCTTGGCATTTCATTACTAACATAAAATGTCATATATTATCTAATTTTAGATAATGGTATACATGTGTGCTGAAGAATAAGTAATTGTATTAGCATTGGTGGAAACTAATTAAGTACATTTACTCTAAGCAGTGTACAATTTTGAGATACTTTAGTATTTCCATTTTATGCTACATTATACTTCCACTCCTACATATCAGGGGGAAATATTGTACTATCTACTCCACCACATTTATTTGACAGCTGTAGTTAAACAAGCAAGATACTGTAAGGACTGTAACACTTCAGTTCACTGAAGCATGTGCCTGCAATGTACTGGGTTCCCTTTCACCCTGGAGAGAAAGTCAACAGTTACAACTTGTTACAGTACTAAGGGGAAAACATGTCAATGGGGAGACAGACTTCATTTCCCTCAGAATCTACTCCTGAGCCTTGGAATATAATGCCAACCCTGAAGGATTGTATAACGCTCTTTAGAGCTGAGAGGAAGTGCAGAGGTGATTATTCTCCGTGAGTCCTATGAGTTCATCACTACGAGCAACTCCTTTCAGATAAGCATAGTCATGTGATCTGTTGTTAATATAAAAATATTAAATATAGCTGCTTAAAAAACTCTCTGGAATTAAAACAGTTGTTCAAGGCCAGTAAAAAAAGAAAAAAAGAATGTATTTATTAAGTCTGAGGTGTTAAAGATAACCTTAACGATCTGGTTTGATGAATCAGTGACGAGAACAGGGCAACATGTCAAGATAATGAAATGTAATGCAATATATTGTGAAGCAGAAATTGATTTCACATTGCAAACATATAAATGCTCGCACTCAAGTCAATTAACCTGAAGTTATTGGTAGCAGATCATTTAAGCGCTCATTAAGCCTTGGCTTGTTGATCAGCAGGTTTTTTATCCAATAATTACTGCTCTCCAGCTCCAGTGACCTCTCACTCACAGGAAGTCAAACTCAGCAGGAGACCCGGAGATGTTAGGTATACTTATCTGCATTATATTAAGTGCGTGAATGATTTTTTTTTGTGTCTATGTGTTTATCCTTTCCTCTATCCGAGTCTCTATTTTTGTCTGTACCAGCTTTGAGACCTGCTTGTTCAATTGCCAAAGAGTTACTCATGGTTGTTCTGCTCTGATCGCTCCACTGAGTCCATCAATCCAATAAATGTCATCATTATTCCACAGTTATAAAACAGCTAGTTCTGGTCCTCAGCTCTGACTGGCTGCGCTATGCTCAAAAGCCATTGTAAAATACTCAGTAAATCCACAGCTGCAACTGCATAACACTCACTAAAATATTAATATGCCAGTCAATGGCAATAGGGTGGAAAAGTGGAGGGCTTCACCATTAATCTTTATTCAGTTGGTGGATTAACTGTGGGCGAATGAAGTGAAAATTCAGACATGACAATACTAAAAGGAGTGGCAGACAGAAACGGTCACCCTTGAACCCATATTGGTATCATGGTCTGAACCAACTTCTTAGTCTATCTAGGAGTTTCTGTTTGAGTTCAAGAGGAAAACAAACAGTTAGAGGACGAAGCTTTAATGTGGGGAGACTTAATGAAAACCACACAATCTCTGGCACTAAACAGAAGTACAACCCCAGCCCTTCTAGCAAAGAATTGTGCAACAAA